GGGCCATATGGCATCAACTATCGTAGTAGTTCCGAATGCCAGACTACAAATGTGGCCACCCCAGTTGTGGTTCATTGCGGTTTTTCAGCCCCTCCGCGATTCCCCAAGATGACTTCTTCTTCCTCCCGCTTCAGTTTGCCAAAGCTGACTTGGTGGATGAACCCGGACAATCTCACAGTCGGCGTTCCATTTCACCAGCGACAGCCCTTCATCTCGCTCCATAGTGATGCGTCTCTCATGGGATGGGGAGCACACTGTTCCAACCTACTAACACAGGGCACCTGGCAAGCACATGAGAGACTCAATCACATCAACTTTCTCAAGCTGCTGGCAGTTTTCAAAGCACTACGATCTTTCGAACCCATGTTACGGAACCGTTCGGTACAGGTAGCATCCAACAACACGGTTACTGTGTTTTATCTAAACAAGCAGGGCAGTACGAAATCGGTACCATTGGCTCAGCTATCCATGCAGATTTGGGACTGGTGTATCCCCAGAGGGATTTTGCTAACGGCAATCCATCTGGCGGGAATACACAACCAATAAGCAGACACCTTCAGCAGGAAAATGTCGTTGACCCACGAGTGGGAATTGGACAATCAAGTTTGCAGAGACTTGTTTACCCGGTGGGGTACCCCAACTCTGGACCTGTTCGTGACAGCATCGAATTCAAAGTGCGTAACCTACTGCTCTAGGGCAGGAACGGGTCCGAACTCACTAGGGGACGCCTTAATGGTGAGTTGGTCGGATTCATTTCTATACGCCTTTCCACCGATCCCATTGATCACCCGTACTCTGGAGAAGGCTGCCCAGGACCGAGCACGGCTAATTCTCATTACATGGTGGTGGCCCCGCCAACCCTGGTTTTCGACCGCGCTCAGACTATCAAGATGCACATTCTTCCATCTGCCACAAATCCCTCACCTGATCATGCAGGGGAGGGGAACGATTCTTCACCCCGACCTCAGCACTCTCAAACTCACCACGTGGCCCCTGCACTAGTTACCTCCGCCAATCCCAGCAGGCTTTAACAAAATTCCTTGGTCCCGATGCCAGAATGCTTGTCGGTACCAAGAGATCTCACCTGACTATCCTCCGAAGCTACATCATCGCGACAGGAAATCGATTTTATCCTACAGTCCGCTCTTCAACCGTCCACTCGTCAGTCGTATGAGGCGAAATGGAAGCGTTTCACCACGTTTGCGGGAGCTAACCGTTTTACTCCGGAATCAGCTTCCATCAATAATATCCTTTCCTTCTTGCTTTTGTTGCATCAGTCTGGACTTAAACCCACTTCCATCAAGGTTTATATTGCAGCCATATCACATTTCCGCGGCCCTGTCTTGGGCTCATCAATGTTTTCCCATGCACTCATCCAACGCTTCCTTAAGGTATTACAAAATCTCCATCCTCCGATCTGTCCATAGGTACTGACTTGGCGTCTATCTGTAGTTCTCCATGTGCTCACCAAAGCTCCTTTTGAACCTTTCGCAATGACAGTTAAGACTGCTATCTTGGAAAGTAGCCTTTTTGGTTGCTATAACTTCAGCAAAAAGGGCAAGCGAACTTTCTGCCCTACGTGTGGACCCACCATACCTCAATTTCCACAAGGAAAAAGTAGTTCTACGTACTGATCTGGCGTTCCTCCCCAAGGTGGCCACACCATTCCATGTTAACCAGGACATTGTGCTTCCAGCATTCTTCCCGTCCCCATCCACCCCAATAGAGAAATCTCTTCATTCCCTTGATGTGTGCCAATGTTTAGCTTTCTACCAGTCGTGTATGGAAAGCTTCAGGAAAACTAAGCGCCTGTTCGTCAAATACTCCGAAACCAATAAGGGCGCACCTCTTTCTGCACAAAGACTATCGAAATGGGTAGTACAGACTATTGGACTAGCTTACCAACTGGCCAAGATAGATCTCCCCATTCTGCCCAAGGGTCACTCCACCAGGGCCATAGCAGCCTCCTCAGCCTTCTCGTTGGGTGTTCCACTGCTGGACATCTGTAAAGCAGCTACATGGACAACTCCCTGTACCTTCACCAAGCATTACAGGCTGGATGTCTGGGCCAGGCAGGATTGTTCCTTTGAACAGGCCGTCCTATCATCCATTCTTCACTGACGACACCAACCCACCTCCGGTGAGTGAAGCTTGCTAATCACCCATTATATGTGATGCACAGAGACCACAAAGAAGAAAGTCAGGTTACTTACCTGTAACTGTCATTCTTCGAGTGGTCATCTGTGCAGTCACACAACTCGCCCTCCGGCTCCACTCAGTGTTGAGGGACGGGATGGTAGTCTCTTTTATCGACTTCTCTGATGAGTGGCACGCTCTGCTAGGGGGCGATCTGCCAGTCTCCAGGGACTGAGGAAAATGGCGGGAGCTCCACCTTATATAGCAGCGGGGGGGGGGGGGGGGGGGAGTTCCCCCCAAAAACCATTGCAGCTTGGGTATTCTGGCCAGCAACAGGCTCTGCGCAGGCGCAGTACCCATTATGTGTGACTGCACAGATGACCACTCGAAGAACGACAGTTACAGGTAAGTAACCTGAGTTTCTCAAGCAGTAACCTGCCTTCCATGCCCAGTTGCAAATCACTTTGCAACTAACAGGACTTCCAAGACCAGTATCTGTTTAAATACAGGTGTGTGATTACACAGCTTGTTGGCTGGGGCTTGCTGGGGGATTAAAGACTGTTTCTGCAAAAACATGTTCAGGATTGTGCTCCTAATATCAAATTACAATAAAGATATGGCCTGTGAGGGGACTGGAGGTATGCACTGAAAGGCCAGGCATAAACTCTGATTTGCTTTCAGGAGATAGACTGCAGTTCAATTGCAATAGAATTTCCAAGCACGCAGGATTTCACCGGGGACATTTCCTAAGTGACAGCAGCTAAAACAGGCACCTGAAATTCTCAGTTCTGGTATGTTAGACTTGGATTGGGATGGGTGTTTTCCAGTGGGTGCAGTAAATCACGTGGGGAACACAGTGCAGGTGGACCTTGCAAACTTGTTCCAAAACCTGTACAGATAACTTGTTTGCCTTTGATCTGACACAGGGTGCAGGTGGGCTGCAAAGAAGTGCAACACAAAGGACACAGGTGGGATGCTGGGCTGGTTGTTTAAAGGGACCAAGAATGCTTGGGAACTGAGGGGAGTGGATTTGTTTTACTCGCAGTGGTGGCAGCACTGTTGCCCAGACCTTGTGCCCTCTGGCAGGTTTGCCTGCAGGCACCATGTATCACAGCATAGTGATTTTTTTCCCTTCATACTTATGTTGCATTTGATCAATAGGAACTACTTGAATTGCCAAAAGCTGTCAAATTATACTCAGTGGAGTTTTCCTGTAAAGGTTGAGGTTTATTTTTTCTCTATTCTTAAGATCATGTCTCTCCTGCATTGCCGTTGTCTGTCTTTTGTATCAAAAAAAAGCAAGAGAGAGAAAAAGGTCTTGTGTTTTTAGTTAAGCCAACTTCTATATCTTAACCGGTTTTAATTTGCTAACTTAAGTTTTATTTTTGCTGATTATTTATATGTTATCTTTTGTATGTTAATTGTATTACTTTATTTATCTTACCTATTTTATTTTTATTATTGTAATAAAATTTCAATAATAAAATTTGAATTTCCTTACTTAAACCATTCTTAGCTGATAAGAGTGATTCCTCCTTGAAGGACCAGAAATAGCACCTTTTGGGATCAACCTTCAGAACATATTTTTTAAACAGGTTTTCTACTGTTAAGATTCTTGTAATGGGGTCATTGGGTCATCTTGACTCATGGGCAGCCTCCCACATACTGGGACTTTTAAAACTTCTCTTTGTAAAATTA